GTTGAATTTGAGAATCAGGGCTAAATCTTTCCTTTGACTTGAACACTCTGAGCCAAAAGGACAAAGGTAATCCAACTCTAACCAAATAAATAAAAAAGTTTAAAAAGAATACACTGATATTGTAAATGAGATTATTTTATTCTTAAAAACTAATTAAATATGTTTCTAGTCTTTTATAAATAAGACAATATTCAGTTTTAGTCTCTTTTTCATGTAGCATTTATAAATCAAGACTGATAATGGAAATAATGTGTTTATTTTTTAGTTGAAACAAGCATTCAACTGGAATCCTCCAGTATTTTTTTCTAGTTACATTGAACTTTATAGAAAGTTGTAAAACCTGAATGCAAACATCCTCTGATAAATTTCCATTGACGAGAAACAAAAGAGAATATAGTTTTAGGATTAAAATGAAGCTTTACATAAGATTTGAGGAAAGTGAAAGTGATAGGAAAGTTAAGCAACAAATGTGTTTGAGATACCTCACTCATGGTAGGTCTGCAAGTTGCAGATGCCCGAATGCACAGGGAGGCAGCAAAGGCTACTCTATTAAACTGTGTCACATCATAAGCCCCTCCAAGCCTTGGATCTACCACTTTTTCTATCTCCCCTTTGTTTAGTATTGGTTTAGCCTACGTATCAAGTCAAAGTAGCAAAAATGTTTAAACAATGTAATGTAACACTAAACATGCTCACCATTAGTCTAGCCTAAATCTAGACCAACCAAACCAAATGTGGGGTTTTGCATGAAACACGACAATTAGAATTAAGTGCTTAAATAACAAGAGTTTCAACGTCAGAGATCAATAGGGATAATACCCAGCTGTGCACGCTTTGGTGAGATCCATCCACTGGTTTCCTTCCAGAGAGGATTTCAAGCAAGAACACACCAAAGGCAAATACATCTGTCTTCTCATCCACAACTCCATGCATGTAGTACTCTGGTGCCAAATGCCTACAAAATATAGTAACAAATTCCCATTTACATAGATATAATACTACATTTATATGATGGAAAATTGGCAATCATTTAAGGAAGTAGAAAACAAAGGGTACCCAAATGTCCCTTCTATTGGGGCTATTGAGTGGTGAGTCCACTGAGATGGAAGCCACCTTGCTAGTCCAAAATCAGATATCTGCCACAATTCAATTAAAAAAAAAAAGAGAGTAAAGCTACCAAATTATCTGTTGTTGAGACACAGATTGAACTGATGAACAGAAGTAGAGTACAAATTGAAGAACCTTTGGTTCAAAATCTGCTGTTAACAAAACGTTTGAGGCCTTGATGTCCCTATGAATTATCCTCCTCTTGCAGCCTTTGTGCAAGTAGTGAAGACCACGTGCGGTCCCAAGAGCTATCTTGTACCTTGTCCTCCAATCTAAAGGAGGCAAGTTCTCATCTACATGGAACATCCACACACTAATTATTAACATCTTTTCTTTTTTCTTTTCTGCAAAACAGCATCATATGACGAATTTTGCAGCCCAAAACAGATACAGAAAAAAAAAATGCTTTTTTCATTTTCTGTTTCTTTCGTTTTTGTTGGATTTTATTAATGTACCATGAATAACAGAAGCAACAGAACCGACGGTGGATAGCTCAAAAACGAGGTAAAGTCCATTGTCAATGCAACACCCCAGAAGAGGCAACACGTTGGCATGGCGCGCGTGACCAATTGTGCCAATCTCTATCAGAAACTCCTTCTCCTTTCTCTCATCAGTTGAAGTTCTGGTGAGCCTCTTCACCGCAACTTCCTCACCACCACGCAACGTTCCCTTATAAACCTCTGCATACCCTCCTCTCCCAACCAAATTCCCTGCAAAACAAGAGAAAAAAAAAAGTCAAAACAAAGAAGCTTAGTATATCAAGCACAAAAGGTAGACTGATATCATGGCTTTGAACAAAGGTCTTCATTTGAGCCAACTTCAAGGCTTTTAGAGTTTCTAAGATTGCAACATGTCTACTTTTTTCATATTATTTTTCTTACAATGAACATAGTCCTCACAATATCGCAAGGCCATAACCAAGGACTAACTGTGCCCGACATCAAGGCTTTCGAAGTTTCCTGCATGATATCAGTGATGAAAATGTAACCGTAGCTTAACTGCAACTGCAAGTTGAAACCTTTCAAAGTACCTGAGCTAAAACCATTGGTGGCATCGAACAACTCTTCAAAGGAGAAGCATTTCCAAGAGGGTCTTAGAGGGTGCTCTTCACATGAAGGAGCCACCAACCCAACATTGTTTTCTTCCCCAAACCCGCGTTTTCCAAACGAGAAAAGCCTCTTCAAGCTGTTGCTCCGTATATACTTCATTGCGATAGGCACCAAACAGGGGACTCTGTTTTTCACGCAGAGCAGAAACAGAGAACACAAGTTGTTGTTCTTGTGACGTGAATGAAAGAGAACAACGCAGTTTCGTGAGAGTGAAGAGAGAATGAATGAAAAAGGGCTTGGAAGAGAGAATAAGTGCAGTGCATGTGTATTTTGGAGTTCGTTAGCTACTACTAAATGCGCTGTCTCGTATAAACAGGGAATGATAGAGCCTCCTTTTTCTTTTTCATGACGTATACAGCAACAGAAGCCAACAGATCTGACACGTTAGAACATGACAAAAAATGTTGCTACACCCAACAAAAAGCAACTGCTGCTAAGTATTCTTTAAAAAAAACAAAAATCATAAAAATATGTTCTTATTTTAATATTTTAGACAATCTTTGTCAAGATTCCTATTTAATCGTATCAATAAATTTGATTTTGAGATCTTAAAATTGTGTTATGAAATTTCTATCTGATTATTTATTAAATAAAAATACCCAAAAGTAATATTAAAAAAAACATTTATAACTCATTATTTATTTAAGCATAAAGTTTTAAATATCTTACTTTTTACTATATGAAATACCTATCATGTTAATTAGCTTTATTATAACAAAAACATATTTTCATGTAACCTAGCCGTGTTAAAATTTTGGATATTTCTAAACAAAATATTCATGTTATATCCGTTTAACTGGATCATGGCCCTTTTTTCATTCTTATAAGATTCCATTAGGGAATAATGATGAGCCTACTTTCAGGTTTGCTTCTATTTAAGGAGAAAGTTTCATTTATTGCTTAATTATTAAAAGTTAATCTGACATTGAGAACTCAAATTGTTGTTTTCTAATTTATGATTACGCACTTATATATGGCTAAGCATGATTATTTAAGAATATAAATAAATTTCTCCAACTTAAGACTATTTGAATTAGGTAAAATTTCTGATTGTAGAACCATGTTGCGACAAATATAGTAACAAAGTTGTGATCTGTATGCTAATCTGATCAGTCCCCACTAAAAAGTGAGAGATTCTTATTCCATTAATTAGTTCATCAATTAGTGACGTAATTTGTTCACCTTTAATACCAAGTTTATTTGCTTTTTCTTTTTCTTTTTCTCTCTTTTTTTTTTTGCGTATTAACTTCAAATTTCAAAATGTGAATTCATATTCATGGGTTTTTGGAATGAAAATGGAACTATAATTTGGAGGGAAACTTTATTATGTATCAAAATTAATGTGTAAGTGAAATTCTTTTACTCGATCTTTAAAATGGTAACTTTAAGTATGTCAATGAGAACTTAAAATTTTAATTCAAAAGAAGATGTAAGCATTGATAATTTTTTTTATACAGACGTCTACAATTACATATATTCTTATCATGAAATTAACTTCAATTTTTATAAAACAGTGAAGGCAATGTGTTTTATTTAAGTACTTTCTTTTATGAATGGTTAGGTCTTATAGTTCATCCAACATTCAAAGAGACAATCAATTATTTTCTTCTAGATGTACTATTTCACGTTTCTTTTTCAGTAGATTTTTCTTTTAATTAAGATATATTTCACAAATTTTTCATAAAAAAAAATGTAAGAAGTAGATATAAAAGAGAAAGAAAATGCATAAATTAATTTGTTAAAGCTTTCTCAAATATTTTTAAAAAATTTAGTTTAAAATCAGAATTTAAATTAATTTTATTGTTTTCTTATTTTTAATGTTCTTCTTGATGAAGATAAAGTAGTTTGTTTTCTCCACAATAAATAGGTCGCTTTCATTGAGAATTATTTGGTTAGGTTTTGTCATATGTGCTTAAAGTTTCAACTGAATCTGGACTGAAGCACATGGAACAGTTTCATGCTGAATCTACAGAAAACCCAAATTATTCTACACTTGTAAACTTTCGAAAAAAAGCCATTGTAATATTTATAATTAAAAAAAGTCAATGCATTTATTTATATCTTTAAAAATGACACGTATTACTTGTATTAAAAATTTTGTTTTTGTTTTCTTGACTATTATCTATTTATATGAGTTTGTAAAAGAGAAGTATATGATATTAATTAATATTTGTAGTGTCAATGATCTATATATAATTTATTCATTGCAAGCATGCACATAGAAAGGTGTGATCATAGTTTATCATTGGCACTACGAAAAGTCTTGTGATAGCAAACAAAATAGTTTACCTCATCTATATGATCTCTATATTTAACTTGTATTAATATGATTTATTATTGTTCAATAATTATAAAACTAGAATTAATTAATGGTTGGAACTTTGAACTTCTCACAGATAAATTTCTTTAATTATGTATAATAGAGGTAGGAATAATGAATGATATTTGGTGGTTCTGGTAAACAGTAGTGTATTTTGTATACACATGTTTTGTAGATAATGTTTCTTATAAAAGTACGAAACCAAAATCTCTTGTCTGAATGCAGTTATAAGAATGGCATATAGAGACACGTGGAGACACCAAAAGGCATGAACATGCTCAAAGGTTAAAAGTTCTAACATCATTAATCTTAATAATACATTAGTTAAACTCCCATGTCTTAGAACCTTTGGAGTAAATCATTCACTTGCTTAATCATAGCCTCGTCTCTCTATTTTCTAATTTTAGGGCAACAAGCCAGTTATTTCTAATTTGGTGTATTACTTTTTTTTCATATATCTAAATTATTATTATTACTATTGTTATACAGTATTACTATTATTGAAGTTTTGAGTTTTTTTTTTTTTAATTTGATGTTATTAATACATTCACTAATTAATATAAAATTATTGTTTTTTATTTATTTTTTATGATGCTCTTCTTAGAATTATTAATATTTTTATTTTAACATAGATGATATATATATATATATATATATANACATCCACACACTAATTATTAACATCTTTTCTTTTTTCTTTTCTGCAAAACAGCATCATATGACGAATTTTGCAGCCCAAAACAGATACAGAAAAAAAAAATGCTTTTTTCATTTTCTGTTTCTTTCGTTTTTGTTGGATTTTATTAATGTACCATGAATAACAGAAGCAACAGAACCGACGGTGGATAGCTCAAAAACGAGGTAAAGTCCATTGTCAATGCAACACCCCAGAAGAGGCAACACGTTGGCATGGCGCGCGTGACCAATTGTGCCAATCTCTATCAGAAACTCCTTCTCCTTTCTCTCATCAGTTGAAGTTCTGGTGAGCCTCTTCACCGCAACTTCCTCACCACCACGCAACGTTCCCTTATAAACCTCTGCATACCCTCCTCTCCCAACCAAATTCCCTGCAAAACAAGAGAAAAAAAAAAGTCAAAACAAAGAAGCTTAGTATATCAAGCACAAAAGGTAGACTGATATCATGGCTTTGAACAAAGGTCTTCATTTGAGCCAACTTCAAGGCTTTTAGAGTTTCTAAGATTGCAACATGTCTACTTTTTTCATATTATTTTTCTTACAATGAACATAGTCCTCACAATATCGCAAGGCCATAACCAAGGACTAACTGTGCCCGACATCAAGGCTTTTGAAGTTTCTTGCATGATATCAGTGATGAAAATGTAACCGTAGCTTAACTGCAACTGCAAGTTGAAACCTTTCAAAGTACCTGAGCTAAAACCATTGGTGGCATCGAACAACTCTTCAAAGGAGAAGCATTTCCAAGAGGGTCTTAGAGGGTGCTCTTCACATGAAGGAGCCACCAACCCAACATTGTTTTCTTCCCCAAACCCGCGTTTTCCAAACGAGAAAAGCCTCTTCAAGCTGTTGCTCCGTATATACTTCATTGCGATAGGCACCAAACAGGGGACTCTGTTTTTCACGCAGAGCAGAAACAGAGAACACAAGTTGTTGTTCTTGTGACGTGAATGAAAGAGAACAACGCAGTTTCGTGAGAGTGAAGAGAGAATGAATGAAAAAGGGCTTGGAAGAGAGAATAAGTGCAGTGCATGTGTATTTTGGAGTTCGTTAGCTACTACTAAATGCGCTGTCTCGTATAAACAGGGAATGATAGAGCCTCCTTTTTCTTTTTCATGACGTATACAGCAACAGAAGCCAACAGATCTGACACGTTAGAACATGACAAAAAATGTTGCTACACCCAACAAAAAGCAACTGCTGCTAAGTATTCTTTAAAAAAAACAAAAATCATAAAAATATGTTCTTATTTTAATATTTTAGACAATCTTTGTCAAGATTCCTATTTAATCGTATCAATAAATTTGATTTTGAGATCTTAAAATTGTGTTATGAAATTTCTATCTGATTATTTATTAAATAAAAATACCCAAAAGTAATATTAAAAAAAACATTTATAACTCATTATTTATTTAAGCATAAAGTTTTAAATATCTTACTTTTTACTATATGAAATACCTATCATGTTAATTAGCTTTATTATAACAAAAACATATTTTCATGTAACCTAGCCGTGTTAAAATTTTGGATATTTCTAAACAAAATATTCATGTTATATCCGTTTAACTGGATCATGGCCCTTTTTTCATTCTTATAAGATTCCATTAGGGAATAATGATGAGCCTACTTTCAGGTTTGCTTCTATTTAAGGAGAAAGTTTCATTTATTGCTTAATTATTAAAAGTTAATCTGACATTGAGAACTCAAATTGTTGTTTTCTAATTTATGATTACGCACTTATATATGGCTAAGCATGATTATTTAAGAATATAAATAAATTTCTCCAACTTAAGACTATTTGAATTAGGTAAAATTTCTGATTGTAGAACCATGTTGCGACAAATATAGTAACAAAGTTGTGATCTGTATGCTAATCTGATCAGTCCCCACTAAAAAGTGAGAGATTCTTATTCCATTAATTAGTTCATCAATTAGTGACGTAATTTGTTCACCTTTAATACCAAGTTTATTTGCTTTTTCTTTTTCTTTTTCTCTCTTTTTTTTTTTGCGTATTAACTTCAAATTTCAAAATGTGAATTCATATTCATGGGTTTTTGGAATGAAAATGGAACTATAATTTGGAGGGAAACTTTATTATGTATCAAAATTAATGTGTAAGTGAAATTCTTTTACTCGATCTTTAAAATGGTAACTTTAAGTATGTCAATGAGAACTTAAAATTTTAATTCAAAAGAAGATGTAAGCATTGATAATTTTTTTTATACAGACGTCTACAATTACATATATTCTTATCATGAAATTAACTTCAATTTTTATAAAACAGTGAAGGCAATGTGTTTTATTTAAGTACTTTCTTTTATGAATGGTTAGGTCTTATAGTTCATCCAACATTCAAAGAGACAATCAATTATTTTCTTCTAGATGTACTATTTCACGTTTCTTTTTCAGTAGATTTTTCTTTTAATTAAGATATATTTCACAAATTTTTCATAAAAAAAAATGTAAGAAGTAGATATAAAAGAGAAAGAAAATGCATAAATTAATTTGTTAAAGCTTTCTCAAATATTTTTAAAAAATTTAGTTTAAAATCAGAATTTAAATTAATTTTATTGTTTTCTTATTTTTAATGTTCTTCTTGATGAAGATAAAGTAGTTTGTTTTCTCCACAATAAATAGGTCGCTTTCATTGAGAATTATTTGGTTAGGTTTTGTCATATGTGCTTAAAGTTTCAACTGAATCTGGACTGAAGCACATGGAACAGTTTCATGCTGAATCTACAGAAAACCCAAATTATTCTACACTTGTAAACTTTCGAAAAAAAGCCATTGTAATATTTATAATTAAAAAAAGTCAATGCATTTATTTATATCTTTAAAAATGACACGTATTACTTGTATTAAAAAATTTGTTTTTATTTTCTTGACTATTATCTATTTATATGAGTTTGTAAAAGAGAAGTATATGATATTAATTAATATTTGTAGTGTCAATGATCTATATATAATTTATTCATTGCAAGCATGCACATAGAAAGGTGTGATCATAGTTTATCATTGGCACTAAGAAAAGACTTGTGATAGCAAACAAAATAGTTTACCTCATCTATATAATCTCTATATTTAACTTGTATTAATATGATTTATTATTGTTCAATAATTATAAAACTAGAATTAATTAATGGTTGGAACTTTGAACTTCTCACAGATAAATTTCTTTAATTATGTATAATAGAGGTAGGAATAATGAATGATATTTGGTGGTTCTGGTAAACAGTAGTGTATTTTGTATACACATGTTTTGTAGATAATGTTTCTTATAAAAGTACGAAACCAAAATCTCTTGTCTGAATGCAGTTATAAGAATGGCATATAGAGACACGTGGAGACACCAAAAGGCATGAACATGCTCAAAGGTTAAAAGTTCTAACATCATTAATCTTAATAATACATTAGTTAAACTCCCATGTCTTAGAACCTTTGGAGTAAATCATTCACTTGCTTAATCATAGCCTCGTCTCTCTATTTTCTAATTTTAGGGCAACAAGCCAGTTATTTCTAATTTGGTGTATTACTTTTTTTTCATATATCTAAATTATTATTATTACTATTGTTATACAGTATTACTATTATTGAAGTTTTGAGTTTTTTTTTTTTT